CAGCGCGAAGTAAGTAGGCCTCGTTCTATTCACGCTTCGCTAACTCTCATGACAAGGCTGGACATATACCACTCACATCAAAGCATCCTTCTGTCATATAAAATAGCAAATGTAATAGCAAAAGTCATATAAAGACGAAGGAGACAGTCTACAATGTGATGTTTTCTCTTTAATTCTTCTGTAACACAGATATTGCCTATTCTTAACTTTTCTGCAAATATTATCTAATATAGTAGTATTTTGTACCAATTTTAAGTTTTTCCTTCGACGACAGATTAGTTGGAAATTCAGAACCTATCGTTCGCCTGACATTAAGACTGACTGACTGACTGAGTTTGGATTTACGCCGCTTTTAGCAATATTCCAGCAACATCACGGCGGGGGACACCAGAAATGGGCTTCACACATTGTACCCATGTGGGGATTCGAACCCGGATCTTCGGCGTGACGAGCCAACGCTTTAACCACTAGGCTACCCCACCTCCCGCCTTACATTAAGAAATTAAGCTATTTGTTCTCTCCTGCTTCACATGTTGTACATACGTGAAGAATGGAACCCGGGTCTTTGGCGTGACGAGCGGACGCTTTAACCACTTGGTTGGTTTGTTGTTTAACGCCGCACTCAGCAATATTCCATCTATATGGCGACGGCCTGTAAATAATCGAATCTTGACCAGACAATCCAGCGATTAACCACTAGGCTAACCACTAAGCTCACCCTCCGCCCCGCATTTCTTTGTAACGTCCGCGGTTGGAGCTCTTCGCAAAATATATGCCGGGTGCATTTGAGGTTATCATTGCTGTTAATTAAGGTTGTAGGCCGGAAAGCCACATTCAAGAAAAACAGCGATTCGTGGCACCGAGGGTTTGTACTTGAAAAGTGGCTTTAATAGCGGAAATTGGTATTTTTCATATGTGCCTTTCCCGGGAGGGCACCCGTGATTAGTTCATGAAAAGTGAAACAAACACTATCCACACATTCAAAATAATATGTGATGTAAGACACATACCTGCCAAGTCGTTGGTGCTAGAAAACTGTCCGGGACGCCTTTGTGGATGGAGCGTCGGGCAGGAGATGGTGGTTGGAGTCTTGATCTCCTGACTGTGTCAAGCCAAAACAGCAATTTATAATTATGACAGATTTTATTGTACTAAATTCATTTTAATCTGATTGGTTGAATTTGTTACTTGCTACGTGAGTCAGCATTATGTTAACCTTAATATAAGTCCGCTTGGCCAGTCGGCTAAAATTTGCATGATAAACCACATGTGAACTCCTGATCCCACGTGAACCTTTGAGGTAGGTAGCTAGGTAAGGTTTTAGGGCGACCTTGGGCTTTGATGATAGTAATTCAGAGTTGCTTCCCATTCCAAACAATGGCAAACGAGAAGATTGATAGATGTAAGCAAACTAAGTACGTTTATCAAACTATTTTATCATAATGTGTAGTTTTGTGTCATATAATAATTTTTAAAATAATTATTGACTTCTATAAATCATTGAATCAACCGAAGTGAAGTCTGTGCTTGTATATTGTTTTCCTGGCACTTGACTGTAGGAGGATACAGTGAGGGACGTTAGAGGCCCCGGTGCACTGTAAAACTGGCATCATTCCAGACTAGTACAGGTTCACCTCTCCTCACCGAAACGGTTAAGCCATTTAAACGAACACCATTCGTTCTCGATTACAAATGTGGACCAATGTTAACACTCATACATGTGTCATTGCTCGGCATCGAATTGAGGACACAACCATATATGTCCGTGTTCTTTCTCCTATAGAAATAACAGATTGAGAGGGGCAGCATGACCAAGCAGTTTGCTATATATTTACAGGAGGTGAGTGACGTACAAACGAACTCTTTGGGACTTGTTAAACAGGCTCCTCCCCAAACCCAGCCCCGCACGAAGGAGAAGCCTCCTGGTCTGGCTCGTTAACATCGTTGTAAGCGTGTCCTCCTATCATCACAAGCCGCTATATTCAGCATATCCAATTTCGCTCCTTCTTATTCACTCGGTACATATATCCACCAACAAGCAGGTATCTTCTATCGCTGATTTAACTGTGCATTTTCCATTTCGAAATTGAATGCAGTCAACCGCGAGTTCTTTCCTTGTATATCCCGATTGAGTGAAATTTGTTCATCAATGTAAAATTCACTCTCATATGATGACATTGGCGATATTTTGAGTGAACTACTTGAGTGAACTATGTTCACGCCTTACGCGATGCTCACGTTATCGAAAATCTTAAAGGAACACCTACTAGCTGATTAGCGTGACTCCAGCAACACCTTTAACATCAAAGTTTACCGCGGGTCGACTTAGTGTCCAAAGCGAAATTTCAAAAGATCGACTTCTTGTCCACAGACCATTTGTTATTCCTCCAGTCAAAGTCTGTCTCTTCCACAGGCGATCGTTGCATACCGTAATACTTGCTGAGGTTACAATTTCTTTTCATTGTTCCGTACATTATAGCATGATAAATCTAAACTAAGCTATTTATGAGTGAGTGAGTGAGTTTAGTTTTACGCCGCACTCAGCAATATTCCAGCTATATGGCGGCGGTCTGTAAATAATCGAGTCAATCCAGTGATCAACAGCATGAGCATCGATCTGCGCAATTGGGAACCGATGACATTAGTCAACCAAGTCAGCGAGCCTGACCACCCGATCCCGTTAGTCGCCTCTTACAACAAGCATGGGTTACTGAGGATCAATATTCTAACCCGGACCTTCACGGGTTAAGCTATTTATGAGTGAGTGAGTGAGTGAGTGAGTTTGGTTTTACGCCGCTTTTAGCAATATTCCATCAATATCACGGCGGGAGACACCAGAAATGGGTTTCACACATTGTACCCATGTGGGGAATCGAACCCGGGTTTTCGGCGTGACGAGCGAACGCTTAACTACTAGACTACACCATCACCCTTCACTGAAAGAGACATGGGACATTCACGTGTAGCAATGTAGCGCAAGGGGAGAAGGTCATATTTATTATACAATACTAACTGCCATTTAATGTCTTTGTACATTTAAATGTGTCGAGTCGAGTGAATAATGTAAATACGTTTTGCAGCGTCATACAAATCTTGTACAATGCTTTAACCACTAGGGTAACCCCAACGCCCAGCTATTTATGAAGCTAAGCAGAACTGGGGCGGTTGGGTAGCCTAGTGGTTAAAGCGTTGGCTCGTCACGCCGAGGACCCGGGTTCGAATCCCCACATGGGTACATTGTGTGAAGCCCATTTCTGGTGTCCCCCGCCGTGATGTTGCTGGAATATTGCTAAGAGCGGCGTAAAATCAAACTCACTCACTCACTCACTCACTAAGCAGAACTAAAAAAATGTTTGAATGTATGCACAAAAAATACATCTCTCAACTGTGTAGAGGTACAGGAGAAATATATAATATCATATCGATCAGTTACTTCAGTGCATAAGTGAAACGTAAGTGGTGATAAATACAGCGGACTGAAACCGAATCTGATCCAGATAATCCAATGATTGACATCCTGAGCATCGATCTTCGCTTTTCCACCTCTTCCAAAATTTGAATTGAGAACTGTGGAACAAATGCATCCTACGGATGATGATGACGTTATTCACCATCTGATGTTTTGCATCAGTTGGATGCCGGTGTTACAGCATCGTTAGCAAGGGTTCGTGGACCTGGCAGTGATTGCCGTTAGGATCTTTCCAAATACCGCTCTGTTGGACAATTCAGATGTTCCAAGAGGGTTAGAGACCCGTGAAGGTCCGGGTCAGAATGAACCTTCAGTAACCCATGCTTGTCGTAAGAGGCGACTAACGGAATCGGGTGGTCAGGCTCGATAACTTGGTTGACACATGTCATCGGTTCCCCATTGCGCAGGTCGATGCTCATGCTGTTGATCACTGGATGGTCTGGTCCAGACTCGATTATTTACAGACCGCCGCCATATAGCTGGAATATTGCTGAGCGCGGCGTAAAACTAAACTCACTCACTCAGTGCTAGTGCTTGAAGCTGAATCTAAACAGTGATCTCCTAGATGAACCTGTCAATTAGCCCATACAGCTCATCGATATCCATGTAGGTGTTACATAATCGACACAAAATAATTACACCGTACTTTGACACATTTGGTTAAATGACAAGAAAAGTCAAGTTGTTTGGCACGAACAGACGCCACCCTGTCTCTTTGCAGTTAGAAATAATTCATCATCCTTAAAAGTGAGTGAGTGAGTTTGGCTTTACGCCGCTTTTAGCAATGTTCCAGCAATATCTCGGCGGGGGACACCAGAAATGGGCTTCACACATTGTACCCATGTAGGGATTCGAACCCGGCTCTTCGGCGTGACGAGAGGACGCTTTAACCACTAGGCTACCCCACCGCCCCTCATCCTTAAAAGCTTCCTGGAGCTTATGAAATATGCTTCGGATCATGTCATGGAGAATGTCAGAGATGACAACAAGGAAGCATTTGATAATAACTAGAGGTTGACTGGTTGATGAAAACCACCCATGATAAAATGTTCCGAAAACAGGGCCCCCAATACTGCAGAAGTGTCTGTCGTGTCTACTGTGTCAAACATGCTCAATTAGAACCATGTACGGAGACAAAGGCGGTCAGGGCGTCACAGAAATGTTATGGTCTTCCTCGGGGAAGTCCGTTGACGTGTACGGGTAGAGCGGTCATGTTATGATAACTGAAGCTTCCCCTCACCCTCCAACGGTCCGCTTTTAAGAAACTGTAGTCAGAATGACATTTATGATGTTCCGAGAAGACAACTTGTTTCTGACACAGATTTGTTTTCTTATTCAGTTGACCACGCTTTCACATTTATAAGTCTTTTTATGCCCCTGGAAGTCATTTATCGAACAACGTACGTTTCCTGTCCATTTCAAAAGCGAATCTGAAATGCTTAATGCTTTTAAATATGGTGGCTTAAAGATGTTTTTAAAATAATCTGTGTTCATAACATGTTCTATTTCAGCAAATGAAATTGTCACTTACGTGTCCCGTGAAGAGGATTCCGGCAGTGTGATACGTCACAGGATCCAGTCGGCGACCAAAACCGTTCGTCTACTGTGAAGGCCGAACTACAGTGGATGACACTTGGCAGCACAAAATTTGTGTTTTTTATCTTCAATGTCACGTGTGGGCATGCTATGATAGCGTTAGGTTTCCACTGTCAAGGTTAAAATGTTAAGCAAACACTACTTCTGAACATGACCTAGTTGAAGGAAACGTTTATGTGGATGTCAGGCGAATGAAGGGTGAGGTGAGGTGAAATTGGGTTTAACGTCGTGCTTGAGAATATTGCGCTCATACGACGACGTGCATGCGTGTGTATGTGTATGTGCGGCTGCTTATACTAGCCCAGACAGAAGCTGGTTTGATAGTTTTATAGTGCTAGACCACTGAGATACCATGCCGCAGTGAAGCATGAATACCCACTCAGACACATTATACTGACTCCGAGCCTACCAGTCCTTGTTGTACCCTTTAATGCCGAGCGCCAGGCAGGAACCAACAAGTACCATATTTTAACGTCTTTTGGTATGACGCGGTCGGGGATCGAACCCGCGACCTTCCGCTCTCCGGGCGGACGCTCTAACCACTACACCACGGAGGCGGTCTGAATGAATGGTATGAAGCAGAGAGCATATATATGTACATGTAAGAACAACAAAAGTAATAAAACAACAACGATGCAGGCTTAACAATGGAAACCAACACTTAACTGGCGTTAATGTGTCATTGGCAAGGGCAAATAAACTGAACTTTATTTGCACACCGGAGGTGTTCTGCGGCATCAGAGGTACAAGTTTACATCATTATGTACAACTTAATACATGTTTGAAACATAAAGTGGTCATATATGCATATCGCTTGGTTGCAAGAATACATTGTCTGTACATACATTTAACCAGTTAAATGAACAATGTTACACTCATGCGTTATTTGTTATCTTTTGTGGGGGGTGTTGCTTAAATTGAGACATTATTTTTTTGCAAAATAATGCTAATTTTCTATTTGTTCCTTGTTTGGTAGAATGAAAAAGCAGGTTACAATTTTGTGCATATTCCGTTATTCTACAGAAATAGTTGTTATGTTTGTTCCTTTCAAGGGCCAAGGTAGGGCAAAAGTGAAAGTCATCTCCAATGTCGTTTCCATTACAGAGAGTACATAATCTTTTATTTCGTTGGCTGCGGTGGTGGTGGTGTGTGTGTGTGTGTGTGTGCGTGCGTGCGTGCGTGTGTGTGTGTTTTATCCATCGTCCTGTTTTAACTGGTAGATATTGATTTGAAGTTATCCAGGTTTGAGATTTCTTTCAACCTGTTTACAACAAATGCTTTAAGACTATCTTTGTTAGGACATGCCTGTGTAGCCCAAATATAACTCATTCCTCCAATTTTGTCAAAAGTGCCCTTCATACAGGCAATCCATTTATAGCTAGATGTGTTACAAATTGTATCATTATAGAGTAATTTATAAATTAGGAAAGAAAATTTAGAAGCCTTTCCTTAAATGAGTTTTGCCCAAAATAGGAACATTTGTGATTTATTTTTCAATTTCCAGCGGATATCTCCCCAGTTCCCCATAAACAATGAATGTGGGGGTGCTTTTTCTATAGAGAGGAGTTCCTTTAGAAAGTTTAAATGAATATTTTCCACCCAAGAATTATTACCAAACCCCATAATTCGCACACATAAAGAAAAATATGGGCAAACCAGCAATTAATAATCGTACCTGAAGGCTCGTCTTATAAGAAGGCACGGTCTCTATTATGTGATTTCCAGTTTTGAAACAGTATTTATCATCTTGTTTGGAGCCACTAAATATAAATAATTTCGTACTTTGAATCCCGAACGTTGGTCGGTCGAGAGCGGCCATGTGATCTAAATTTCAAGGTTCATTTCTCTTGAACCCTTCGAATCGTACGTGTGTAACCATTGTTCATACGTATGTGAACGTTTTCGAGCCGATCTCATGTGAACTTTTGCCGGAACTACTTTCCGGATTTTCCCAGGATCCTCTCTGTCCAGCTTGACGTAAACAACATGAAAATTATTTGTATTCACACTCCTTTTACTTTCTACATATCACTTACTTTTTAAAATCTGAGTGACAACGCGTCCGACAACACGTGCCCGCCAGTGCGACCTAATTTTCAAATTCCCGCTTCGGTTTCAAGGAACCCCAATGATCTTGCCGCAAGTGGTGATGCCAATTTTGCGACCGAACCTGTTTCAAGTCACCCGAATTTTGGCAATGTCACTTCTTCAATACCAAACGGATTTCCAATTGCCGAACATTGTTCCTTTCCGAAAGAGTTTTTATCTCTCGCAGTTTGCAGGTTCATCTGGCGTTTTGTGCCCCGTGGTCTGTTTAACAAGTGCTCAATAAATTTCACAATAAAACAAATAAATAGAACACAACAACGAGATCTGCTAAAAATTCGCTACGCCGCACAACTTCGAAGTCGGTCGGTGTATTATTACGCTGTCAAACGAATCCGTCACAGTGTACAGGTACAATGACAGTTTGTTAAAATGATATTTATATCGCGATATGTAGATGAGCTTGATGACGATATAAATGATGGTGAAATAGTTAAGGCAATCAGAAAACTAAAACATGTTAATCGGCAGGAGTCGATAAAATTATTAACGAGTTTCTGATAGAAGGTGAATGGTTTTTAGTTCCAGTTTTCAAGAAATTATTTAATGTTATTCTACACACAGGAATGTTTCCTACAGATTGGACGAAAGGCATAATCGTGCCAATACACAAGAAAGGCAGCAAGTACTTGCCTGATAACTACCGAGGTATCACTTTACTATCAGTTGTTGGTAAATTATTTACAAGTATTCTTAACTCACGGGTTGCTGCGTGGTGTTCAAATTATTCAATCCTTATCGAAGAGCAGGCTAGTTTTAGAGGAAAATACAGTACTGTGGATTGTATATTTGTTTTACATGGTTTGATTAATCTTTCTCTGAGTAAGGGAATGAAGTTATACGCTAGTTGCGTTGATTTTCGAAAGGCTTTCGATTATATAAATAGGCAGGCACTATGGTTTAGGCTTTATTCTGTGGGTCTCAGTTCCAGATTTCTCAGTCTTATCCGTAATATGTATAGGGACGTCAAGTCTTGTGTGAGACTAGCTAATAACACTTACTCTGAATTTTTTGGCTCAAGTCTAGGTTTAAGACAGGGAGAAAGCCTATCACCAATATTATTTTCTCTCTATATTAATGATTTAGTTCATGACTTATCAACCTCTCAGGATCTTGGAGTTTATGTTTCGCATGTTAGGATGCTGTTATTGTTGTTTGCCGATGATATGGTACTATTTAGTGAAACTGTCCATGGTCTCCAACAGGGCCTAGACTTGCTACGTGAATATTGCCAACAATGGGGTTTAGAAGTTAATGTAGACAAAACTAAGGTTGTAGTGTTTCGAAAGGGTGGTAAATTGGCTAAGAGAGACGTTTGGAATTATGCAGGTAGTCAATTTGAAATTGTTAATAGCTTTAAATATTTGGGTATAGTTTTTACCCCCTCGGGTAGTTTTTCGGAGTCTCAAAGAATATTGTCTGAGCAAGCTAGCAAAGCATTATTTACGTTATATAGATTAACTAGTCATAAACCCTATATCCAAGTCAGCCAACAATATGAATTGTTTAAATCACTTGTTATACCTATTTTGAACTATGGGTGTGAAGTCTGGGGCTTTATGGAGGCACCCGGTGTTGAACGGATTCATTTAAGGTACTTGAAAAAATTGCTGAAAGTTAAGATATCCACACCATCAAGTTATATATAATATTATGGTGATTTTGGTGTTTTGCCTCTGTACACAAGTAGAATATTACGTATCTTACATTATTGGCTAAAACTCATTAACTGTGAAAATCATAGATACATACGTGTTGTATATGATGCCTTGTTAGAAATGTCTATAGTCAATCCAGAATGCAAAACTTGGGTTACTTTACTGAGAGATGTATTATGTCAATACGGGTTTGGCTATGTCTGGTTGTCGCAAACAGTATCTTGTAAGACTAGCTTTTTAAATGAATTCAGACAAAGAGTAAATGATATTCATATCCAAATGTGGAGAAATAAGCTTTTATCGCTTAGCGACACTAGATTGTATCTACACATCAAGGAAACATTTTGAATTTGAACGCTAGGATAGAAATAGCTAACTATAGAACAGCCTTAACGCGATTGCGATTAAGTTCTCACATGTTATTAGTAGAAAAGGGACGGTGGAGTAAGTTAGATATATCGAATAGAGTATGTCCTTTTTGTACTAGTTGTTTGGAAGAATAGTATCATGTTGTAATGGTTTGTCCAAGGTATGTAAAATATAGACAGTTGTATTTAGGCAAGAGTTTGTATCAAAATCCGAGAATGTACAAGTTTGTACAATTTCTGAAATTAAGTCCGAAAATAATATTCTTAAGTTAGCTAAGTTTGTTTATCATAACCTTAAAGAAAGAGGCAGTTATGAAATGTATGCTAAGAAAAACTAGAAAACTGTGAGAAACACCTATAAGACTACGCCTATAATATTATTCCATTCGCTGCCATTGTGTTGACTTGCAATCTGTACCAACATCCGATCACAAATACATTTGTAGGGCTATAGTTCGTAAACATAAGTGCAAAATAGTATTTGCAAAATGACCAAGCTGCTAACCTTATATCCTTATTTGTTGTTAACATTCTGTCACCAGACAATACTGTTCATTTAGTTTTCAGTACCCAGTACCATTGGAGATGTGCCTATTGCATGTGCATTATTATCGTTATTGCAATATGAATTGTAACTTGTTTACTGGCCTCTGGTCTATTCAGAAATAAATTCCAATTCCTATATAATATAATTGTTATTGTTATTGATATTTGTTTCTGTTTGATACTTTTATTGATGTTATACTTATTAAAGCAGTTTCAAACCTAATGACGAATTTGTTGTTATATTTTAAGGAATACTTTGAGAACTATTTCTTCAAGGGTTGGGATACATGTGTAAAAAAGTCGCCAAGTATACACACATCGCTGCAATACGGTCTTGTATAGAATGGCATTACAGCAT